TCATAAACATATTTTAGATAACAGTAATTTTGCACAGAAGGTGTGTCCCTCAACATGTGTTCAACCCTGTTACCCAAACCTTTTCAGATTGGCACAGGAAGTGAAAAAACTGTAAATCAGATGACACAGTGGAAGTGACATCAGCAAGCCATGTCCTAAGAGGCTTCTCAATTCTTAAATTTCCCCTCCTCGACTCCCCTCCTCGAGACTTAGTCCCGCCCACAGGAGATGCGAACAGAGGACCGAGGAGGGGAACCGAGGAGAGAGGAGGGGAAGCAGCAGACGTTTAAAGAAATGAGAACTCCTCTCCTCTGAGCGGTCATATTAAAGCGACGTCCGTTCATTATTATGTAGCAACAGCTGCATCAGCTGTCGAGTGTTTTGTCATAGCGCTGTATTTTATAATCTCTGTTAGATCAGCTGAACATTGTTCCCCCACATATTTACTTTGAATTCATTGAGAGTGCGGTATAATGAGACAATAACAGGCTACAGATGCGGACACACACACACAAATATATTCAATAAAGTCAGACTGAAGCACTCCTTTGTGCATCAGTCAGTCCTCACAGTACATTTACAGAGCTAAATCCCAGACCAAATGCACGCTGAAGGCTCTTTGAGCATGTTTTTCTCTCACTGATTGTGCTGTTATGTTAAATGTTTGTGTTTCATGTATTTGTGTATGCATATTTGTCTGTTGATGTTGGACATGGAGCTGCTGTGACGCAAGTCAAATTTCAGACTTGATCTGACAATAAAGTAATATCGTATCGTATTTATATAAATATATACAATTTAAAGTATGAGAGCTCAGCACTCTCATAATAACGTAACACAATCAGAGACTGGATATATCCCCCCCCCCCCCCCCCTCTCTCTGGTCGCTGAAATGGGGAATTGAAATTAAGGGGCCAAAAGTTGTATTTACAAGTAGCCTATTAAAAGTAAGCAGAGGACACCAAACCAACTGAGACCGTCTGTCCGCCGCATCTACGCACAGTACAACACACACTGTACCACACACACACCTACACACTGTACCACACACACCTACAGCTCCTAAAGCATATCAGGCTACAGCCGTTGTGTATTTTATTATGTGAAGCACTAAATGGTCTTAGAAAAATATCGACTCTTTGTTTGTAGTTATCTACTAAACTAAAGCAAATAAAGAGAGTAGGCCTGTTATACTCAGTGATATATATTATACACACTGCTCTGCTTTCTGCACGGACCTCACAGCTGTTCTCTCTGGAAACATCGCAACGCGATGAGAGCAGTTTCTAAAATAATAGGCTTGTTTGAGACAAGCGAGACCTGCGCAGACCTGCGCAGTTGCGATCAACGTCTTGCTAGTGCGTTGCATGATGGTTAGTCATTTTGTCCGACTTGCTCTGGAGGCCCGCCTACATGAGACGTTGAAATCTCGCGGGACAAAGACGCCCGCAGCCTTGAGAGCGAGGCGGCGCAGTTCCTCTCCACGGGCTGCGGAAGCGAAATGCTTGATGGGAAACGACTCGCTGGTATCTCGAGCTGAGCGCTCATTGGTGGTTTTTACCAAGTGCTGGTGATGAAACTCTCCAATTGGCTCGGCAAAAGTTTGTTGTTGTTTTGTGTCAGTTTTACGTCACCACATCCATTCCCATTTTTCATCATTGTTCCACAATGTTTATCATAATGAAATTAATATCCATATATTTTATACTACTTGCACTGCTTACCGTTTTCATACTTTATATATCTTAGCATATTCATACACACGTTCATACTGCTCACAGGCTGATATCTAGTGTATTCATACCACTCACTGTTTATTCATCATTCAATTCATTCTATATTTTATTCTGTCTATTGTGTACATTACTTTTCACTTTACTGCTTGTTGCACTCCTGGTTAGAAGCTAAACTGCATTTCGTTGTCTCAGTACCTGCAATATGTGCAATAACAATAAAGTTGAATCTAATCTTGAGCAGGAACAAATGTATTTACTTAGTACATATCTGACATTAATGATTAAACACATGTGTGCATTCTTTATAAATGCAAACCGAGTCAAGCCGACTCCGGAGGTGGCGGTATGCACCTTAAAGTTGTTTGCAATCCGCCAAAAAACCGAGAGAAGAAGAAGAAGAAGGCGAAGAAGAAGATGAAGAAGACGAAGCCGACTCCGAGCTTTTTGAGACCTCCCCCGGCTGCGATCGGCTACTCTCGTCTACTTTCGAGGCGAGCCTCAACGCGTCTCAAACAAGCCTAGTATCCAGGGGATGCATGCAGAGCTGTCATTGGCTGAGATAAGTCCGGCCGTGCGTCACGCCTCCACCGTTCCCGGAAATGCATCCGCGGAGGAGCCGTGGAGGAACCATCAGTGTATCCTCGGTTATAGCTCCTCCAGAGAGCCTCCTCAATGCTCGATCCTCGGCGTGCATTTAGAGAAATGAGATGTCTTTCAAAATGGCGCGCTGAAATTCATTTCCGGGTCACTACCGGAGGACCGAGGAGTCGAGGAGGGGAAATTTGAGTATTGAGAAGCCTCTATAGTCCCATGGGTAGACAAAACTATGTCCTCTCTTTTATTTTTCATATTTTTACAATCTTTTCAGTCTTAAAAGAGTGTGGCACTCTGACCCACTCAACCCTGTTACTGATATTATCAGAATAAAGCACATTCATTTCAAAGTTATCTTTCTTGCATTAGATATCCAAGTTTGTCCTTGCCTTGAAAGTAGCATTACATGCTACATCTAGCAATAATTCCTGAGGTTAAAGCTCAAATTAGCATTGATTTTCAACCCTGTTACTATAATTAAAGTAACAGGGGTAATTCTTCATTGGAAAATATTAATTTGATGCCAAGCTGGGCAAATCACTTTTTTTGATGGTTTATTATCTGTTTTTCCTAAATACATTAAAAAAAATTATAAAATAAAAGGTTCATTTTTCAAAAATGTTGGTGTCTAAATTGTCCTCCAATTCTGGAATGACCCATTTAATATGACATTTTATGGATTTGTGTTGTCTTCAAAGCACCTTATGTAGGCTTGGAAGTGTTGAGGATATTATAAACAGGGCCACTTAGGTAAGTTTCAGAAACCGGCTCGAGTGCACTAAAATTTGAAAGTACACAGCCGAAAAGAATCCGCCCCTTCCTTCAGACTTCCTTACAGAGCACCTCCTCTATGGGCATAAATATGTCTCATAATTATTTGTGTGAACATAAAAATAATTTGTGTGTAAATATGTGATTTGTAAATGTAAAACACCATTCACAAATGCGTTTAAAAGATTTGCAAACTCACAAATAAATGTGCAAGTGTAAAACGGATCTGCAAATACACTAAATATTTTCACAAATAAAAAAAAGATCTGTGAATATCTCTTTAACATTTACACCTTTCGATCAGGCATTTGTGAATCCAATTAGTATTTGTCGCACAAAAATGCGCTTGCGGATCTCAAATCTCTGCTCGCGGATCTCACATTTCTGCTTGTGGATCGTCTTTTTACAAACACGGAATTTTGAGACATATTTTCCGCCGGTCTCCGCTCAAATCTACTCGTGTCACTCGGTTATTATCGGAAACCATGGGATGGCCCGCTGATGACGACATTTCCGCATGATTTCAAAGTAAGAGCATGATGGTTTGTTTAATGCTCTGTTTTTTTATTATAATGAACAGCGGAACGTTATGCATTCTTTATCACCATCACCATCACCATCATCATTGTTAGGGATTCATTTTGTCTTTACTCCTAAGTGTCAAAGAATAATTCTCCTTACTCCTAAGATATTTGACCTTTCGGTCTGTTGACGTTTTACGACGAAGTCGAAGTCTGTTATCTGTCTTAAGGAATGGGAACTGTCAGCTATTGCTGACATTATGAGTTTTATGACCGGTCAACTCTCGGTCACAAGAGCCATAGAGTCAGATAAAGTGATTCAGTGCCCCCCAGGTGTTCACAGATGCTTTCCCCAATATGGGGGTTGACTCTGAGTGAAGCTAATTAAAGGTCTGCCAAGAGGAGAAGGGAGTCAGAATTAACATGGCAACCCACCGATGCAGTCAGAACTTTCTGCTGCTGTGATTTGTGATATGAATTCTCCGGCCGATGCTTGTAATAAACGCCAGTGTTTGACATCAGAACTCCTGCTCGTCCCGTGTCTCTCTGAGTCCTGACTCTCCATTGCTACAGAAGTTTCCCTTACAATCATCATCATCATCATCATCATCATCATCATCATCATCATCATCATCATCATCATCATCATCATCATCATCATCATCATCATCATCATCATCATCATCATCATCATCATCATCATCATCATCATCATCATCATCATCATCATCATCATCATCATCATGTTTTAGTGATACAGTTAGTTTGTGTTAGTTTATTGGTTCAATACAGCATATATCGAGCACTTTCGTTGATGTTGAAGTACAGGCTATACGCCACTTTCGGATCCCAGGGGGAGCAGCTGGCAGCGGGGTGCTAGTGGAGTACTTCATGACCACAGAGCGTGAACGTTGTGATCAGCTGTTTTAGCGTAGTTCTCCAGTGAAGGGGGGGGGGGGGAGTGTCTCCCTCCGCAGCCGGTTGGCGTAGTTTTGGCACAATTCCGTTGTACAGACCGACGTTAACAGCAGCCCTGTCTGTGCACACGGAGACCGACTCTGTCTTCCGGTGATCTAACCGCCTTCTGGAAAAGCTTCACAAGTACGTCGGTACGCAAATGCGCTTTGTGACACAAGTGACGGTACGCATTTCAGATTGTTGCCGGGCATTCGTACCTGCGTACCAGTTATGTGCACCCCTGCATATATAGTAGAAAGGTATGGAGGACGGAACATGACTTAAGTATAAATAAATAAATAAATGTGTAAATAAATGTATGAAGAAATACAGGAATAAATCAATAAATACGTAAATAAATAAATAAATACAGGAATAAATAAATGACGAAATAAATACAGAAATAAATAAATGTTGAAATTAATACACAAATAAATAAATAAAATAATAAATAAATGAGGGTTACTATGTCAGATATTTGAAGGACCCCCAGACCCAGATTGGCCATTCTACGGTTTGCATTAGACCAATGCAAAGAACCCTGAATTTGGACCCTGTAAGTTCCTCACTTCTATAGTGGTGTCACAATATTAAAGTGGAATCTGTGACTTACAGTAACATAATTGTTCGCTTGTGATGTAGTTTAAAGCTATTTTGTTTACAGGCATGTCGATCAGAAGGCGACAACGTGTTAATTGGACCAAATCAGAAATGTGTCATCTGTGGAGAGGAGTTCCCCTTTTCCAGAATCAAGGATCACAGCAATAACTGCATGAGGTATTACTCTCTACAGAACTAAACATCACATTCGCCAGGCACACTGCAACTGCATGTGTAGATACACAATAACCAATAAGCATAAGGCTATGGGATGCTGCAAATGGATGTAAAATATTTTGACATATCAGCACATCTGAGGTTTTATAATTATGGGGCCAGATATTAGTACTTTTTGTTCCAACAATCCCTCTGTAACGCCATATTTTGCTGTCCTCTATAATACATTTAAATATGAAAGATATACATTCTGGATGTTGGTTTTGAGGAAACGTAACATTTGGTTTACTTGTCATTCTATTTATATGCCCATCTTTTTCTAGAGTGCGATATGTAATGTAAAGTATACTAGACCGAGTAACAGAAATGACCTCTTTTTACACTAGACCATCACAGAGCAGCGGTGAGGTACGGATTGAGTTGACAACTGAAAGGGCCTCCGGAAGTCAAGTTAGATTTGAAAGCACGTTCACAGGAGCACAGGGAAATGAGACAACAAGGGCCAGGAACACAAGACACTCGGTGCCACCTCAGGAAATGTTGCCTTCTCCTGAGGTAGTTGACATCGATCCCACTGAGGAAAGTGGCTTCTCTGGTGTGTAACATCCTTTATTAAGTACATCATGTATTGCAATACGTTGTTGCTCTCTACATTTCACTTGATCCAATATTAATTTGGAAACCTTTTAAACTATTTTTAGATTGGAAAATAGCGCCAGATCCCACAGAGGCAGCAAAGATGTTTAAAGAAGACATTTTAAGCCAGCATGCAACTGGAAAATCTTTGTGTCTTACTATGGATCTTGGAGTGCAGAGGAAAGGGAAAGAGCAGTCCTTACTTTTTATAAGAAGGCAAATGTTGAGTGGGCTTGCCCCTTGACATGCACACTTAAGGGTAATTCGGTTACAAACAAAACCTAAGATAACAAAATGAACAAACCATATTTTCGTTAAACTGATGTCTGTAGTGTGTGTTTACATTTTTCAGGAGATCCAGCAATTGGTGATGGTGTGACTCGACATTTCTTTGCAACCATCATGTCAAAACTTCAGGCTGGTTTTGAGATTAAGTTTGGCAAGTAAATATTTACTATGGCTGATCGCTGGGTCTCAGCCACTAAGTTATGTGTGTTTTTGTACCAGTTCCAGGCTGAACACAGATCTGTCCCTTAACCCCAGAAAACAAAATGTATTCCTAAAACCTGATGTGATTGTAGCTGCTGTGAACATGTAGGTTTCTACAGGATCAACCAGTATCCAGTGGCGGTTTGATAATTCCTTTACTAATGCTTTGTGATAGTTGAATATCTATGTCCTTTACTTTACTATCAATTTACTTTGACTGTTTTCCTATATTTGAAGTGCCTGGAGGAACTCTTCTTTTTGAAGGAGAAGAAGATCATCTGATTCCCTCCACTTCTCATCTCCTTTTGGAGAGTGACTTCTTTGTTGTTGCTGGCCGAATGATTGGACATTCATTCCTCCATGATGGGCCATGCCTAGGTGGACTGAGCCCAGCTGTCCTGCATGTGCTCTTTGGTGGATCCCCGGAAGAAGCCACAATAGATATTAAGGACTGTGTTGACCTTGATATCCGTGAGACAATCAAGTTGGTATGTTCAATTTTTTTCTAACCTATTTTATTATTCAACCTTTGGATATTATTTATTTAGCTGATCTACTTTCAGATACTGTTAACATCAAGTGGCTACATTTTGCACCAGCAGGGGTTACTGAAGCATTATAAAACACCATGCACTGCTATATTAAATATCATTAGAACACTTACAGATGTCCTGAAACTGAAAACTCATCTCTTTCGACTCCACTTCGAGCGTTAGAACTATTAACGAAGCACTTTTATACTAATAAAGGACTGGCTTACCTAAAGCCAGTTGAGTAGCACTTGAAATGTTTGGCTCTATGAAACCTGATGTACTTATATGATTCTGTTTTCTTCAAGGTTGTGTCTTCCTGGTCGAATGTACTTATTGTAAGTCGCTTTGGATAAAAGCGTCAGCTAAATGCAATGTAATGTAATGTAATGTCCTCCTATAAGATGTTTTTTGACAAAACATAGCTTTTACAGGTTACCAACTACTAACATGCTGATTATAAGTTAAACTTCTTATGTTGTATCAAAGTTGAATGTTTATACAAGTATTGAGAAATTAACGATTCTTATCAAATTCATTCTACTTGCCATTATTAGCTGGAGGGAACAGCATAATTATCATTAGAAGAAAAAAACCTCATCAATGAGTTGGCACTGTCCTGGGATTTGCCTCTAGTCACATGTGACAACAGGAGATGGCTATTTGATAAACTGATCCTCCATGCTGTGAGTATTCTGTACTTAACAGGTCATATGAATCAGACTGACTAATCAGAGTTGAAGTTTTGAAGTAGGACCTCATTTTGGCATATCACATTTTAGCTTTTTTGTTAAATACATATTTGGATGTTAATACGTGTATTAAAACATGCTTATTGGGCTATTAGATAAATCAGGCTGCTTTGCTTTTCTACTGTGATACAAATATTGTGCAGGTCCTTGGAAGAACCTCCAGACAAGTCAAGCAGTTACGAAGGGGTTTAAAAGAGACACTGATCTGGCCTCTGCTAACGGAGAGGAAAGACACGATTCCCCTTCTCTTTCCAAGAGCATCTGATTTGCAGTGCACATCACGGGTAAGTGATCTCATGCTGCTCAGTCAAATCCTTCCTCCTAACTCACAGGAGTTAGAAATTGGGTTTATTTACTACTCTCAGACCTCCATTGCTTTAAGTTTATTATAACAAACATTCACATACGCAAACATATTTTTAAATGAAATTATGCTACTTGCTGCTTAAAAGGAGCTAAACCAATAGAACAACTGTATCTTTAGACTACTCTGCTGCTACACAGCAAAACCTGCAGTTTCTTGTATGTTCTGTTTATTATTGTGCTTTCACTGCTCCTTTCAAAACTAAATCTGTCAGATGGTCTTGGAGAAGATAAACTGGCCCACACAGGATGAGGATGAAGACAGTGAAGTCTCTTTGGAGGATTCCTGTAGGATCACAGGATTCCTGCGCACATTTATTGAGATGGGTAAAACAACGTCTTCAAGCTTTGTTTACTGAAAGTTTGTAATTATTATAACGAAAGCTGCGCTTCCTCTGTTTCTATGTTTAACCGTGGATTTTCAGCAGTAACAATCCAAGGCGTAATTTAAGTAACATTATTGTTATTTAACTATTAACTGAAAGCAATTATAATTAAAACTGCGGTCGCACTTGTGCGCGCAGTGATGAGCGGGCCCTCGCGTCCGTGCGCCTGTCGGGGAGGGTATGGGGGTTATTCCCTATCTTTATTCAAGAGCGTGGTATTTAAATTTGAGAGCATACTTTATGTATGTATTTCCCTCAAACCCTGTCCTCACACTCAAATAGTGCCTGCTTGCACTTAGATTTGCTCTGCTTCTTCTCAAACTGTACGCTTGCACTCAGATATATTGCTGCTTACAGATTTGTTCTGCTCTGCTCTCAGATTTATTCTGTGCGCGCTCGAAACTTTTGTGCAACAATCCTGTCAAAATCCCTCAACCAATAGGAGGCCAGGTGTCCTTGCGGGTGCGTTCGCTTTACTTATTACAGCGTCCCGTAAGGGCGGTTACTCTTTGGTTTATAAATTCCCAGCCTCCACGGCTTTATAACATAACATGTACTTCACTTCGCTGTACAACTTTTTTTTGTGGGGGGGGGGGGGGTAAGCACACTTAGTATATGTTTATAAAACGGACAAGTCAAATCAAGCAACCTGATGTTTCTTAGCCGTGATATAATGAGCGTATATCCCGGGTATAATTGTAGTTACTTTTCACAAATCAGTATCCCTCCGCGTCGTCCGTTATGAAACTAACTAACTAGGCTGACTAACAAAGCTTAAGATGGAAACATTTAAGGTTAACTTCGACCTCCGGGTGGCCTTACTATGGAGGAGTGGATTGAGAAGTGCCTATCTCCACAAAAAAAAGCACCTAAACGACGTCTAATATGTTCTCTAGCTGTTATTGTTGTTGCATAGCAACCACCTCGCACTATGTTCTGTGCAGAAGACAACGGAGGGACTATTTTATTTTGAACATCATTATTTAATAATAAAAACTATTTAAATTGGAGTGTGTATTTTTTCTTTCACATTGTCAGCCACACGTGGTAACCGTTTTATAAATGCAATAGCTCACTTCAGGCCGTGATATACGAATATCTATACAATATGGAGTTGTCGACACTCCGCTTCGCGTCGGGCCGAACCAAGCCGTAGCACAACAGTGCTGTATCAGAACAACAGTCTGGAGGAAGAAGTGGGCCGGTCGGAAAATTCACTAGCAATCCCCCCTCCCACCGTTGATAATTTACTAGCAATAACGAGGGCCGGTCGAGATTCCCGGGCTGATTTTTAGTCCCAGTACGCCACTGAACGTAGCTATTATGTAAGGTGCTGGTATATATATACTAACTGTGCTCCCCCCCCCAAACAAGTTGTAAATCAAACAAGTGAAGTACATGCTATGTTATAAAGCCGTGGAGGGCGGGAGTTTATAAACCAAAGAGTAACCGCCCTTACGGGACGCTGTAATAAGTAAAGCGAACGCACCCGCAAGGACACCTGGCCTCCTAGTGGTTGAGGGATTTTGACAGGATTGTTGCACAAAAATTTCGAGCGCGCACAGAATAAATCTGAGAGCAGAACAAATCTGTAAACAGCAATATATCTGAGTGCAAGCGTACAGTTTGAGCACAAGCAGAGCACATCTAAGTGCAAGCAGGCACTATTTGAGTGCGAGGACAGGGTTTGAGGGAAATACATACATAAAGTAGCTCTCAAATTTAAATACCACGCTCTTGAATAAAGATAGGGAATAACCCCCATAGGAGGGCGGCCGGTCGTCCCGTCGTCAAGCAGACCTGCGCGAGTCCTGGGAAATGAGCCGTTTCTCATTTCTATAATTTTCGCGTCCCAGACTCCCAGGTCCTCCGGCAGCGACCCAGAAACGGATGTCGAAGGAAAACAAATTTCTCTAAAGGCTTGTCGATGATTGATTATCGAGGAGGCTGTCTGTAGGAGCCGTAACCGAAGATGCACTGATTTAGAGGAGAGAGGAGTGTCTCTGGAGGAGCTATAACCGAGGGTACACTGAAGTATTCCCCTGAGACGATTTCAGCCAACAGTGATGTTTAAAAGAGGCGTGGCGCATGGCTATTTACGTATTTATGTATTTATTCCTGTATTTCTTCATGCATTTATTTACACATTTATTTATTTATACTTAAGTCATGTTCCGTCCTCCATAGAAAGGACACGATGAATATTATAACATTTAATGTAGCCTTACTCTGAAGGCTAACCTAAATACGGTGCTTTTCTACAGATTACTTTATTACTGTGCTGGTAAGGTAAAATTAGGCCGATTAATAAGATGTGAAGTGCTTTGTAACTTTGACCCGCTTGACTGAATACACAACAAACAATGAAGAAAGAGTTTTATCTGGGCTGCCAGCTGCTCCCCCGGGACCCGAAAGTGGCGAAGGCTATAGCCTGTACTTCAACATCAACGAAAGCGCTCGATATATGCTATATTGAACCAATAAACTAACACAAACTAACTGTATCACTATAACATGATGATGATGATGATGGTGAAGTAAGAATGCATCTAACGTTCCGCTGTTCATTATAATAATAAAACAGCGCATTAAACAAACCATCATGCTCTTACTTTGAAATCATGCGGAAATGTCCTCATCAGCAGGCCATCACGTGGTTTCCGAAAATAATCGAGTGACATGAGTAGATTTTAGCCGAGACCGGCAGAAAATATGTCTCAAAATTCCGTGTGTGTAAAAAGACGATCCACAAGCAGAAATATGAGATCCGCGAGCAGAGATTTGAGATCCGCAAGCGCATTTTTGGTCGACAAATACAAAATGGATTCACAAATGCCTGATCGAAAGGTGTAAATGTTAAAGAGATATTCACAGATCTTTTTTTTATTTGTGAAAATATTTAGCGTATTTGCAGATCCATTTTACACTTGCAAATTTATTTGTGAGTTTGCAAATCTTTTAAATGCATTTGTGGATGGTGTTTTGCATTTACAAATCACATATTTACACACAAATTATTTTTATGTTCACACAAATAGCGCACAGAATAAATCTGAGAGCAGAAAAAATCTGTAAGCAGCAATATATCTGAGTGCAAGCGTACAGTTTGAGCAGAAGCAGAGCAAATCTAAGTGCAAGCAGGCACTATTTGAGTGCGAGGACAGGGTTTGAGGGAAATACATAAAGTATGCTCTCACATTTAAATACCACGCTCTTGAATAAAGATAGGGAATAACCCCCATAGGTGTGTTCCATCAGTAGTCGCCATCATTGAAAAGCAACTCCGATATTGACTCTGGTTTGAATTCTCCTAGTTTCCACTTTGTTTTTGTTCCTAATTTGCTCCGTTACATTATTTATTTTGCCACCAGTAGACGATGTTGAACCTAACTCTGCCATGGTGAAAGTGGCCGCCTGTTGCTAGCGAGTCATTTAGACCCCGGCCACACGAGGACGAAAACGGCTAAACGCATAGGATTAACGCAAACGCAATCGCAAACAAGCTTCCGTCCACACGCAATAGTTATCCGGATAGTGTCTGCCCAAACGAGACCGCTCCGTTTCAATATGGTCTAGCTGCGGCTGCGGCCAGTACACGGCGGTACACGATGGTACACGACACGCCCACCTGACACTACGGTGGCTGAGAGGCATGGCAGATGAAAAGCGAATTGATGACAACTACGCCGCCTACGGTGGAGACCGTACATGGCATGTTATTGTAGCATTTTAAGCAACTAGATTAATAACCTATCCGTTTTAAGCAACTATTAGGCGTTTTAAAGCAACTATTAGGCAAATAAATCAATAACCTATCCGTTTGAGAACCCCTTGGAACCCCTTATCCCATTTTGATGGTTGACATCTCATTTGAACAGTGAAAGCCAGAATATTGTAAAAATGCTTACCAATGATGTATTAATAATAGGATATATATAGCGCCTTTCATGAGACCCAAGGTCCCTTTAAAAAGAAGAACAGGAGTAGAAACAAACATAACAAAAGGCAGTCAGACAAAACAACAAATAGATTTGGGGCCAAAGGCCTTGGCAGACAGATGGGACTTGAGGGCCCTTTTGAAGGCATCAAGCGTGGGGATGTTGCAGATCTCCGCAGGGAGAGCGTTCCAGAGAGTGGGGGCTGCCATACTGAAGGCTCTGTCCCCGAAGGATCGCAGGTTGGTGCGGGGGGCCAGAGTCTGAAGACCGCAGGTTCCGGGGTAGAGCATGTGGGAATTGTATTGATTGAGCCAGTGTTTCATCGTGTACTTTCAACTGCAGTATATGGTCAGGCAAGTTCAGCATTCACTGTAATGTATATAAAATATGACACTGATACCGTTTTCCTCAATGAACATTTATTGAACAGAACATCAAATGGAAAATCAGAGCTGGTCAACTTAAAAAAAATATTGAATAAATAATAAACTCCTCGGAATCTTTCACAAGTCCTTCAGCCTTTGGTGCGCTTCCTCACTCATGTTCTTGGCGAGGTCATGAGAACAAAGTTCCATCTTACTGATAAGACAAGATGGT